TATGACCGGGATTATATCCCTGTATATATTGCCTTAATTGGTATGGTTTACTGCAGGCCCATGTCTAGTTACTCGACTAGTTATGCAAGCAAGGGATACTATCCAATGATATTCCGTGAAAGTCTAAGTTATGGGGATGGCTTTCAACTCAATGGGAAAAGTACAATGGTCCTCGTTTCAAATTTAAAATCAAAAAAAATCAATTGATATTATCTAAACATGCTCATCTATTCCAAAAATTATTGCTCTGTATTACAAAAGTCTACATCGAAGCCCTCAGTATGGCTCGCAACTAAGATGAAAGCGTACTACATGCTTTGTATTAGTCTGCTCCGTCCCAATACTTTGTGTGCCCTCCATTTTCCTTTAACACCGCTATACATCTTTTGTGCATGTTGACCACACGTAACAGAGGCTTCTTCCGAGCAATGCATCTGCTGTAACCCATTTTATTTAGGGCGTTTGATAGTTAATGCTCATTGCATCTCCAGTGGCTGAAGGATCCCATTGCTAGTTCCAAATATCACATCTGTCAATTTTCAGAAGATTCCCGGACAAAAGCCTCAAGCTCATCAACTTGTTCCGCACTTAATTTTGTTTGGGAACCTTTGCGAGGCATAGGAGTCTCGGTCTCTTGAGCACACGCAAGTTGCGCTTACCTTCTTGTGAAGCCAAGTTCGTCGGATATATGTTGTAATGTCATGCCAAGTCTTCTTAATGTTCTTATTTCAATACATTGATCGCGAGTTAGATGCCTGCAAACTTCAGTTTCAGAAACAGACTTTTCGAGAGACATTGTTTGCTAGAATAGAGGATGAAATGACAGTGGCGAGAAGTTTCAAGGACTGTAAAGGTTAGTCAGCCAAAAATGTCGTTGAAGATGTGTTTCTCTAAGCAATTGTTGGAAGAATACGATTGTACCTTACTTCATGGCAAGCGGGGTAATAAGGAGAGACAGTCTAACCTATTGTGAGCTAGCCGAACTGCACCTACAGGGCTAATCCCTTAAACAACCCAGTTTCAAGACTAACATTTTGTAACCTAGAGGCACTGTAGACGATTTATCGCTTCCTTAGGTCTCTCTCCAGATCTGAATACTAGCGGTTGCCAAGCGTCGAGTCGTTGTATCCGTGCAGCGGCCTGGAGTTGCCTTATCTCTAGCAGAAAATTTTCTGCAGCAACGCCTGATTCTCGATACATAGCCATGTTTGGCGTGGTACGCCATGCTGGAAGCGCTGCTCGATCTGCTTTTAGAATTGTGCTGTCCAGTAGATCAATATGCCAGCCGACCCAGGTATCGGGCAATCTAATGGTCAGAGGTAGTTTATTTTACATCCATGGTGAACTACAGCCTGAAGGATATAATAACAACAACTTCATACATAATTGAGTCGGATATGGCAGTGGTACACCATTCGGGCCGTTATCCCAAATTTATTCTGGTTAACTTGAAAACCTACCCCATTTGAGAAAGGATTAATAATCAGTTTTGTTGTCCTATCTGAGTCCATGAATATGTAGGACATGCAGGTTCTCTCTGCCTACAGGTTCAGGATACCTGTGCTAGTGGTATATCCCCTCCTATACCTCCCATACAGCTCCCCTCTAACATTACCATCCCTCACAAGTCCTCATTCGATCATACATTTAATGGAGCCCTTTGCCCTCCATTGTCTCCTCTCTCCAGCCAGCGAAACGATGGCCATTTGTGGGTGTATGGCAGCCGGGAAAATCGCAAAAGCTACTGGGTGCGGAGCTCCTGGAAATGCGAGTGGGGCGCACAAGGAGGTATCAAGGGGGTTATGTACCAAATGGGGAGTAGGGTACAGGATAAAGGATGATTCTCAAGTGGACAAGGGAGGGAGTTAAGACTAGTCGACACAGAGCATATGAGGAGTGAGAGTAGGTAGAAGATTGTTTTCACAAGGAAAAAGTTATTAATTTCTATCAAGTCACTATCTTTCAAGTACATCTGAATCAATTAAACCTTTACACCCAGCATGGTCGTTAGAGACCTGTTCTCCTCTCGCTCTACATCTCAGCCGCCTGTTCTCCCTCAAGTCGTTTGTCCCATTGGAGCAACAGTCCCCCAAAAGCCAGGGCCCAGGCTTTTTATTTTTCGACTTGATTTCCTACGTGCGGGTATGAATAGCCTCGTAAATATGAAGTGATGGATGGCTGGAAATTAACGGGGCAAGCTCCTATTTGCAATTGGAGCAACTTCTTTATTGGTCGTTGAGGCGAGATAATGCGTGGTTAGGAAGAGGTCAAGAACTCAGATGAGAATGGTGAGAGAGGCATTGTCGAGAAGTCGTCAAATGGATATATGCTTGAGGTTGTGTTCGACTTCAATTCGGATGCGATTCTTCTTGGCTATCCCAGATATGCAGAGCTTACTGAGCGATTACACCGGCACCACTGGAAGGTGAAGAATTCGTCTTTGCCGGCTACTAATTTGCATTGCTAGACTGCTTTGGGCCTTTGTCAGGTTTCGGTAAAGAGAAAATGGCGATCCCTTTGGACTAATCTTCAACTGTTTTGACTTGTTGGACTGTCGACCTTGGTGGCATTTGATTTCTATCCGGGTTCTGATACCTTTGTTTTTGTAGTCATAATTAGGAAGGGTCGCGAAAAAATCCTAAGGGTCGTCCTTTCTCGAACAATGTACACACGCGCCACGGGATAAAATTGTTCCATATCATCATCATTGACATGAAGTTCTTCGCAGTAAACTTTGACGGGAATTTTGAGGCTCCAAGGCCAATTTTCTACCTTTTTAAACGGTAGGAATAGATAGCAAATGTAAAAATTTGCTGATGTGAGAAAACGTCTTCATTTATGCACACATGGTGATTTTCTTAGTTATCAATCGATCGTTACGTAAATTGGATTGAATTTAAGTCCCTACTATGTCTATGAATATGTAGGACTGAATCGTTAGATATGTGTCCGGCTGTCTAGCTGTGACAAATAAATACTGCTATTTCTAAATATTGGATGATTCTTTGAATTAAGAGAATCTCATACTCTGCGTCTCAATCGTAAATATCACTACGATGTATTTTGCTCCCACAAACAGTCAACCAAGGGGGACGAGAACCAACACCTGTTAGTGGTGTCCCCTACGAGCCTCCAGCTCTCACTGTAGAGTCTGCAGAGCCGAGATTGAGTAACAAAGTCCTCACTTTGATGAGGATTTCCAATCGCTTTCGACGTCTGTATCGTCTGTATCTCTCAACACATTCCCCTATCACCACTATCATGAAGCTAACCACGATCAGATCAGATGGTAGGGTCGGAGCCCTACTCATCATCAACCCTTGATCGTGGAGGAGAAGCCGTCCAATGAGTTTCCGGAGCATACCCAGCACCCGATACGGAGATGGCGGATTGGATCAAGCCGACCTCAGCCGTTACAAAGAAGGGAGATGTAGATGAATATACGCACCTCATGTGGTCCCGGTGTCTAGGCCTCGCCTAGCTGGGGCTGCAGGTATTTTGCGACTTTTTCCCGCGCACGTAGTTCCCGTTGCTACCGTTTTTTTTTGGTAGAAGGTTCCATGGAACAGTTGGCTTAATTCCACGGGTAATCACTGAGCTGAATGGCTATTCATCAAGGGGAATATGTCAATGATCTTTCAAGTAACAAAAGAGGATGTGAGCACTAAACAAGTTGTGGCCTGGGTCAGAGAGGAGCCCAATATGCTAGATAGTCATACACCCTGGTAGCACAATGAACTGTACAAACACTGTTAACCCTCCTCCGTGAGCACACCCAAGGGAGAGTTCCGGAATTTTTGAACAAAGATTGCATTTCTCATGAATCTAGGAGTAATTAGGCTTAATTTTATCGAAGTGGTAGTACGATTAGTGATCTTGTTTTAGAAGCCTGTTCTTGAATTGGTCATACGTTGTTATTTGCCTGTAAATGTGAGTTTGATTAGACATTTAGCAAAAAACCATACGGAAGCTTACCTGATCAGTAGTTATTAATAATTGAATAGATGTGATCTTAAGAAGTAATTACTAGTCTTATTGTAATAAGAATTGGTTGATCAACTACCTGTGACCCGTAAATTGACATGGTCCAATGCTGTTATACAATGCCAAACCCCGGAAAATAGGTAACTCACTTGACAAATTAAAGATGGACTTGGCTGTAAGAATATTTCTTGTATATATCGAAGCTAGTATAGATGATTGAGGTCCGTGATATCGATTACTGTTAATTGAAATTTCCAGGGGATTTGAATCAAACCAGATTAAGCAATCCTGTATTATAGAGAGTAGAGATCTTTTAAAAAAAATTGGGTGCACACTTAAGTCAACGTCTTTCTATTTTGTGAGATCAGCGCGGTGAATTGATGTGGGAGAAAAGTAGTAGCCAAGCTTTGGGCCTCGACTCGTAAGATAGAGAATTGAATGGATTCGTAATGAGCCGTTGGTAAGTGCGAATTCCGGGTATTTGTTTCAAGACTTAAGCTGAAACCTGAAGTCGGGGGATCAAGCGCTAGCAAATTGAGATTTAAATTACTTGAAGCAAAGCCTGGGTGGGCTGACATCAAGGGGTGTATGGCCCTAGTCCAGCCAAGGTGTTATGTTACTCGGCCAGCCACAGGGCGAGATACCTAAATACCGTAATGGCCCACTATCAGGTGGAGCGATGTTGTCAAGAAAGTTTCATAGTTTATGGTGGAGTAAACTGGAACTGCAGCAACTTTGCTACACCCCTATTCAAACAGGCACTGAGGTAGACAACCACTTTCCCACATTAAGCTGACCATCAATCTTTGGGAGTCAATTGTTCACAACCGCGGCACCCCATCCGTTTTCAACTTCGGCGAAGCAGATGACGCAATTGATTATTTTCTTGCATACTCAGCAAAACCATTTATTCAACAATTCTTCTAAACTACTCTGGGTTGTATCAGTCTAATCAGACTCACCTTACAGTCTACAATTTCTTAATCACCAGCGATTTATCAATCGTCATCTCAACTATGTCCTCATGGGACTACATTGCAAAACTTGTCTGTATTGGTGATAGTGGCACGGGAAAGTCATCATTAACAATCCGTCTATGCGAAGGTCGATTTTCACCGCAACATGATGTAACTATCGGGGTTGAATTTGGATCAAGGGTTGTTCCAGTAGGACCTCCAAATTCCCTAGATTCAGCCCATTACCAAAGCGCTTCTATAAGTGTTTCAGCACCAAATACCTCGGACCAAAAGCACATGAAACTGAGTCTGTGGGATACAGCAGGCCAAGAAACTTACAAGAGCGTCACAAGAAGCTACTTCCGCGGCGCATCTGGAGCTCTGCTGGTTTTTGACATCACTCGCAGGCCTACATTCTTACATGTTATGGATTGGCTCGACGATCTAAGGCAAATTGCTGAGATAGACATCGTCGTTGTATTAGTGGGAAATAAATGTGACTTGGCTATCGGGGAAGAGGACAAAAGAGAAGTTACCAAGGAAGAGGCCGAGGAATGGGCACGAAGTAATGGCTTGCAGGAGTATGTTGAGACCAGCGCCAAAAGCGGTGAGGGAGTCGAATTGGCCTTCTCTCGGGTAGCGGAAAGAATATACAAGAATATTGAAGCCGGAAAATACGATTTAAATGATCGAAGATCAGGTGTTAAAGGCCCCCCGCTGCGTGGATCGAGGGACAATGTTCATCTCGGTGCCGCGTCTAAGAATACTGGCTCATGCTGTTAAATTATCTCCTGAAAATTGTACTATAGTGACGGCGTCGGAGCGTTCGATTAGGGTTAGGTATGGAATAAAAAGATCTCCACAATAATTATTGAGGTAATGACTTATGTCGTGTCTAGAACAGCTCTGCATTATCGCTGTAAAGCACGAGTAATAAAAATTCAAGCCATGATGAGTAAAGTCGCTAGCTTATGCTATGACTGCCGTCTCTAGGAGGATCCAGGGCTTCTGCATCAGTTGAGGGATGCCACCCGTGGCTATCCAGGATGCTAAAACTCAGCACCCGTAAATAATCATTCATTAATATTCATGTAGTCAAACTCCATTGTGAAGAAACTTATTGGTAGTAATAGCATTTAGGTTGCACAGAACTGGATATTTATTTAGTAGCAGGCGACACGTCAATGAAGTTGTAATATCTCGGCGGAATTGACTGAGCCAGTAATCTGTCCGGTGTGATCGGCTTCAGTGTGGTGCATGAAAGGGGAAAGAACGGAAAGCGATAAGATAAGAGCTAACTCTCGGTCGTATTTATCCATTAATCGTGCCTGTAACTTTGGATCCTAGCTTAAACTCTTGATCCCCCACCGTGTGAGACAAGATTGGACAAATATGACAAAATATGTCACATGCACCGAGGGCTTTGGCAATCACCCTTTCGAAGTCAGCATGCCTTCTATAAATCAAATCATGGATCACTCCTATGCACATCAAACCATTATCGATTTTACTCAACAGCATTTACCTCGAGAAGCCACAATATATTTAATACTATAAACTTTTTAAAATTATCATTATCTTACTTCGGAATGGCGGACAGCTTTAATCCACCTCCAGGTCCACCCCCAACAGCTTCTCCTCAAGTTCCAGCGGGCTACAAAGCTCAGTGGAATGATCAATACAAAGAATGGTAAGAATTTAAGCTTCCAAATGAACCTTTTTTAGACTCTCCCTTCCGAAATAAACTAGCTTAGGAAATAGTCTGTTACAAAAATTTCAAACTTTTTTATAAATTAGAGGGTGTTAATTGATCCTGAAGCTCCTTTTCTTTAAACAAATGGCTCATATGTTCTCATGACTGACAAAAAATAGGTTCTATGTAAATATATACACAAAAAAATCGCAGTGGGAAAAGCCCACTCAACCTGTCTATCCGGATAATGAGACCCCTCCTTCAGGCCCACCCCCAGGATATACAAGTAACAACACATCATCATCAGATTTAAAACAGAGTTACAGTCAAAAGGGATCTCAAGGAAGCCCTGACGATGCAGCCCTAGCTGCTCGCCTTCAAGCGGAAGAAGATAGCCGTAGTCGTGGTGCGTCCGATACAAAATCCAAGGGTGGATTTTTCGACAAACTGCTCGGAAAAACTACCGGTAATCCTAATGGTAACAGTCAAAACTTTTCCCAACAACCCCAAGTTGCGTATGGTCAGCAGCCTGCGTATAATAGCTATCCTCAAGGTTACCCACAACAAGGCTATCCTCCTCAGGGCTATCCACCACAAGGCTATCCACCACAAGGCTATCCACCACAAGGCTACCCTCCACAAGGCTATCCTCCACAAGGCTATCCTCCACAAGGATATCCGCCTCAAGGTTATCCACAGCAAGGTTATCCACCTCAGGGTTATGGTGGCCAGCCTGCTTATGGAGGAGCTCAACAAAAAAAGCCGGGCGGTGGAGGTATGGGAATGATGGGAGGTGCTGCACTAGGTGCTGGTGCAGGTCTAATAGGTGGTGTGTTGATCGCCGACGCCCTTGAACATCAAGAAGAAGAAGCATATGAGCAGGGCTACGGTAAGTCTAAAATCTTGCGAATCTTTATATCATAATACTAAATACAGTGTAGAAGATGCTCAGGATGATGATGGTGACTTTTAAGAATGGATTAATCCCTATCTTCTCTATCTAGGATTAAAACCATAATTTTGGAATAACTTTGATTTGATTTAATGTATCTCCAAGGTTGATGCAATATAAGACTTTTCTATCTACGTCACAGAAATTTTACACGACTTCCTCTAATGCTGAGAAAAGTAGTTAAAAAGAGTCTTTACAGCCGACTCTAACCATCATCCTAATCAGAAATCAAAGTTCAAGTATTTTGATTCTTAAAATAGAATATTGAATGTTTTTCAGCCCATAAAACTATAAGAAATCGAAAAACAAGGGCATTCCACATATAAAATCACAGGGGCGCAAAATTTTGGACCCATTCGTATCCAAAAATACTTCTACGTCAATCTGGTGAGACAGCGAGTACAAAAAGTTGGAGAAAATGTAGTGATTACTTGGAGCTTTAAATATTATGAGCTAGTCTATGAATTTAAATACTGTTGGAAATTCAGACTCTTTGCGTCTGAAGTTTGCCTATGATTGGAAAAAATAAGATTCTCACACATGACACACGACCAAGATGATTGATATCCCCTTCATCGAACATGTTTTATGCGTGAGACTTGAATAATGCATGGTATGGGTTGATTCCCGTCAGGTAAACTTACATCTACCGACCCTGACCCCGTACTTGTGTTGTATACTGTCGTGCGATTCATGATTATTGTCGAAGTATGGAAGGAGTAGTGCATGGTATCTAACGTTGATTTGGACTACCAAAAATACACGTATATAAGCTGTTAAGAATCACCAAGACATATAATTCATTCAATTTATTCTATCAGATACTTCCATTTCTACAGCTTATCACACATTCTTCCGATTCATATCCATATTATTCTGTTCGTCAATCGTGCCTTTATTCTTTGAGTCGCCTTATTTGCTGGCGATGATACGGTATACGCACGTATACCGTAACTCCCACAACTAATCAGTGTCTCTTATAGTTGAGGCACAGATAAGCAAGGGATTCCCGAGTAGGCAGGACTCGAAGTCCCTCCTTAGGACGGCTGTTGAAAATACGTCAAAACTTGCGCTAAAGGGAATTTAAAGCTTTTAAGGCCTAGTCACAATCTGTGCGCTCCTAGAGTTCAAGACTTTCAAGCTTCTAAAGTAATTTATCTAGTTGCTTTGCAGTTCCCAAGCCACGAACTAGACTAGTTTGAATCCGCGTCCATCATACAGAATAACATCGTAAAGCGGGTAGTAATTCAAAGTTCGGTTTCAGTCTCTCCATCTATTTTAGATATGATTAATCTTGAATCCCCGACAAGTACTCGTCACCTCCTGACACAGCGTCGATCTATTATGCTCAGCTATGTAGTATGGTAGATCTAGTAGCTGGTGCATAGGTAGTTATTATGGCAGCATGACATTATGGCGCATGTAGGAGATCCGGTCTCTACACAACGACATTACATGTAGTACTGTGTGCAGATTGTGAGAAGAATTGTTGACGTAGGAGAGACGATAAAGCTCCTAAGTTGAGAGCACAGTTTGGTGAGCTGCATACGATTACGTTATCGGTCTATAAGCGAACAAGCTAGAGGATAAGGGACGAGCTTCTTCCAGTTTGTAACAGAAGAATTACCTTATTAACTTCACTTCTGCACATTAATGAGGATATCTCTCCACAAACTATCTTAGCTGCACCAGCGCAAGTGTACATTTCCAAATCATAAACCAATCATAATACGATCGACTCCGTTTCGTTGGAGGAGCTCTATTAGCCGACCTACCAATACGAATTATACATCTTCGGTCACCGAACTGATATCCAAAACAATGAAATGTTGAGTGAACCACGTTTTAACGGCCACATTGTTCACTCTATACAACAAAACAAACACCAAAAGTAACGAGATGAAAGCCTTTGGGAGGAGTTCATTGAGTATTTCGGGAATTGGAAAAGGAATAATTTTGAGATCCCGTCGCCCCCTGCAATTGTTGAACTACGTGATTATTTAGGCTCGAAGGGCGTTTATGTCTTCAAGGCACCACGAGTATTAATAGCAGGAGGACTAGCGGAAATTGTGGATGAGAGAGAGCAGCATACATGGATTAGGGATCAAATATTAGAAATAATAGACAAAAGTGAACCATTCAATTCACGATTACATACAGATTATCAGTCTTCAAGAGCATGTGAATTACGTTCCCGCTCTGCTACATCAAATTTTGAATCCGCTACACAATTACGCCAAACAATTGAAGCGGAGACACGCTGAGAAGCAGGGAGGGGTACTATAATAAGACCGAACATAGGAAATGATATGCTGGACATGACTCAATTAAAAGTCTTCACACCACGGATATATCAGCCACAACCTCAAGTAAACCAAGAAGCTAGCCCTGCAATTCCTTTAAGATTGGATACTGAGGAATACCATCGGTCATGTGGGACGCGGCACGATAGTCAAATACCACTACCGGCGGCACAATCCCAGTTCTAAGAGAGAGACTAGCATCTTCTAATCCTGTACATGTTGCAAAAATGGCAAGTCGAAACATCCTGCCAGCTACTAAAACGTATCAACAACAAGGAAAACAAAGGAGTGCTCAGAAAGATTCATTTGCATCCCAAATCTCCCCTCTGAACTACCCAACGGTACCAAACCTCTATCATAAGCATCAGGAAAATCACTATAGTAACTCACCAAAGCTTAAGTTACTAATATAAATAATTTGAGAAGTGTTTTTAGGCACTTCGGGGAACAGCAAAAGTATGATGGTAAGATTGACTTCTTATATCAAAGGCTGAAAGTATTCTACGATATTTGTGAAACATTTGATTTACCAAAACAAAAATTTTACTCCGTTTTTCCGGCCATACTGATAGGCGCTGCTCACGATTACTACTATGATTAAATCGCAGGATAAGGTTTTGAGTTGAAGGAAGCCTGTAATAAATTTGGACTACACTTTAAGACAGAGGAACGGTGATATGAATTGTTAAACGAATGGCACAATATCTCCTTAGTCGCGCAAATTAGAAAAAATCCCGAATTATCAAACCTGGTTTGCTTTGAAGGACTGGTATCTGGAATGCAGAGGATCCCTCGCAGTCTTGATATTGAATACCAGACTGATAAATCCATGAGAGACCACTTCAACTTGCGTATGGAGATGTCGAGGCTTGCTGTACTGCAACATTAAAGCCAACAGCAACGTTTGAAGGATTATGCTCTGATATTCGATTATCGAATTCGAATAACTCCCGACTGACGGCGAACGGTTCCAATACCTTTTTAACGGACCATGAGTTGGCATACCATGATAGTTCAAAAAGGCATGCCTTAATACTGACCGCCACTACCACACAACAAATTTGCATCCAAAAAATTAAAATATGCAATCTCCACCTAACTTAAAGTACGAGTTGGAATCTCGTAACAATATGAGAATCAAGAAATGTTTTATGTATCAAAAAGGGGATTGCTGGTCTGCAAATCATACACAGGAAGAACGTGATCGCGCGTACAACTCCTTTAAGCAGCGGTTAAAACGTCACAACAAACCTTTTGCCGAGAGAGATATGAGGTAGTATATCTGTGAATTTGAGGGAGTCCCAGATGAAACGAATACGGCAAACAACGAGAAGGACGAGCATGATATCTTGATATGGATTGCGATCGTCCCATAACGACGCCAATAGCGACCCCGATATCCCTAATTCAAACTATTTGACATCCTTTGGCCCAGTCAATGGTTATGATGTAATCTCAATTCTCAAGTCTCAGGCTATGTGTGACAAAACCAAGCTGGTTGTAGTGTACTTTTAGAAAGATTAAACTATATGAAGACTGAAGTATCACAACTACGGGTAATGACTATTTGTACATCCTTCTAGATCATTCAGTACGAACTCCGTTGGTGAGAATGACATACTTCTCCGCCACTGCTCGTCGTCATCTTGGCCATCTAGCTGACTCTCTCACTTGGCAATTCTACTTCGCCGTCCCACATTCCTTCCTAGCTCCAATGTAATGTGGCCAAGTGAAACTTAGTCGCTTGATACAAGTTAATATGTAACAATCTCCCTAATACGCCCCCAAACTCCTTTTAGGTCTCTACATAAGCTAAACCACGGTCAAACCGTAACACGATGCGATATGCTGCTACTAAAATATCACCCTATAGTGACGAATTTGCCGAGAACACATATGTTATTGGTAAGTGCTATGGGTCAATTGTGTTCCAGGGAATTTAAATTGATGTAGGTGCAGACAAGTGCTCCACAGCTGGTTATGACTATTCTAAACCATTGAAAAGAACTCGCAGCCAAATTCACCATGACAATTCTAGAGCGGGAGAAGCCAACATCCAATTTGGGGAAGGTTTAGTTAAGTAATCAATTGGAACTGTAATTGTTAAGACGCTGGTCGGAACTTTTACTTTTCATGTTCCAATTCCACTACGCCTTTTTGTTTAGCCTCCGTGATATGGATAGAATGAAGATATAATTTGGAAACCTTAAAAATGTTCTGGTTGAAGGTCAACTAGAAATACCAGTAGTTCGAAAATTCGGACATTCGTTCTTGCTTCTTGATGAGTTTCCTATGTCACTAGTTCAGCCACACGTTGCTGATTTGTGGTATACTTACCATTCACGAGACAGGTAAAATGTTTATCTAACAACCTCGATACAATATGACAGTCTCAGGTACTGAGAAACATTGTATCTTGAAAACTTTAAAATATGTTATATCCAACGTAAATTCCAGAGAGATCTTGATCTTGTCAGACAGTCAAGCAGCAATTCAGAGGGTCAGTAAAGCTGACCAATCTTTCTCACCCCAGATAAGGATAAAAAGCAAAAAGTATCAAATTGATCTACACTGGTGTCCAGTCCATGAAGGTGATTCTGGGAATGAGCTAACAGACAATCAGCACGGGGTGGAGCCAAGAAAAATGTCTATAAAAGGAATAAATCTAC